AGGGGACTGGCTTGAGACCCCTTCTAACTCTCTCTGTATGACAGCGTTGCTGAGGTCACATGGGGCTGAGGGGTCTCAGAGGCATTGGCAGGTGTCAGCTTTGGCTGGTGGCACAAGTGGTCTGTGGTGCTTGCCTCTCGCCCTGCAGAAGGCCTCTGGGCACAAGCTGAACCTGCGTCTCCGCGCTCTGCCATGGATGGAGCAGTCAGCACCTGCTGAGCACGTGCTGGGATGCAGGTGCCAGGCTCAGCACAGGGCTCCTGACACCCTCATGGGAACTCTTCTTGTCCCTGGAAGTAGAGAGGTCAGGTGACTTTTCCCAGTTCCAAAGCAACACAGCCAGACCTCAAAGCAAGTCTGTTGGAGACATGGGCTCTTCTCGGGGCCCCCCTGCGCACTCTGTGGAATGAATGACTTTTGTCACCCATGTCCCCTCTGTGAGGACTGAAAGTGATGAGTCCAGGACCTGGACCTCAGAGATGCTCAGCTCTTGGCAGACACATCCCTGTGGCCCCCAACTGACTGCCATCCCCTCTTTCATGTGCAATCCCCCAGTCCGGGCATGGCTCTGGGCCTGAGGCCACCTCTGGCCTGGAAGATCTCATGGGCTGGAGGTGGCACTGGATGGGCCTCCCACATACGCCGGTGGGCGCTCTGGTACCTTGACCATGGCAGGCAGGCAAGGGGGCCTCTGTTCCCATAACTCCACTCCCTCCTGCCTCCCCCACCTTGGGGCAAGTTCCACTGCTAAGCCCTGAACCCCAAAGCTTGGCCCTGCTGTGGACCCACTTTAGGATGAAGGTGGGGCAAGTTATGTGGTCAGGGCTTAAAGTCGCGCTGTAGCCCTCGCTGGTCCACAGAGCCACCATGGGTGCCAGAGCGCTTCCCAGGGCCCATGCCCTCTCGCAGGTCACATAAGACAAGGGCTCAGAGGTCACCAGGCTGAGCCGATCCAGCTGACTCCCTTGACTTCGGGATCTGTGCAAAACCCTCCCAGCCATTTTGCAGATGAATGCGTGGAAGCCACAGGCAGCTCAGGGAGTGGCAGTGTCTCCCTGGAGGGAGCCTCACCCAGGCCTGAGGAAGACAGGGAGCTTCCACCTGCGCCCTTGCAACGGCTCAGGTGTGCTGGGTGGGCTGGGTAGCTGCACAGGTAGGTGGACAGGTAGCTTGGGGCGGGGTGGAGGGTAGAAACCCCACTCTGTGGCTCGCACTGGAAGGGCATGAAGATGACCATGGCAAGGCTTTAGACCCCAAGGCCTCTCAGGAGACCTGGGACAGGGTTCAGTTAACTGTCTTGGGCAGTGTGGCCAGGGCTACACGGCGATGTGCATTGGATTGTTCCCCGAGAGGAGAGGGTATGGTGGGTGAGGACCATTCTAGGAGAGCTTCCGACAGGAAGTGACTTTAGGCTGGCCTAGAACAACAAGCAGGACTTTACTCGGCAGAGGAAGTGTAGTAACCACAGCCCAGGCACTACCAGTGAGGTGTCTGGGGAGCAAGTTTTTTGTTTTTTTTGTTTTTTTTTTTTTAAAGATTTATTTATTTTTATTGGAAAGGCGGATATACAGAGAGGAGAGACAGAGAGGAAGATCTTCCGTCCAATGATTCACTCCCCAAGTGAGCGCAACGGCGGATGCTATGCCGATCCAAAGCCAGGAGCCTCTTCCGGGTCTCCCACGTGGGTGCAGGGTCCCAAAGCCTTGGGCCGTCCTCGACTGCTTTCCCAGGCCACAGGCAGGGAGCTGGATGGGAAGAGGGGCCGTCGGGATTAGAACCGGTGCCCATATGGGATCCCGGGCGTGCAAGGCGAGGACCTTAACCACTGCGCCACCGCGCCGGGCCCGGAGGGCAAGTTTTGAGGGAGGGAAGTGTTGGAAGTGCAGGTGGGCTGTGTGATAAGGGGCTGAAGGGGATTCCTTAGGCCAGCTGCAAGGTGGAATCCTTCTGCCCTGGGCCCCAGAGGGTCTGGTTGCTTAGAGGAAGCGAAGAAGGGAATCAGAGAGGGTAAGGCACAAACCTAAGAGTGCACAGTGGTGACAGAGCCCTTCTCATCTTACCCTGCAAGCCCCAGAGAGCCAGGGAAGGTGTGTAAAGTGGGGGGCATATGTACATTTAAAAACACACACAAACACATAACAAAATTTTGCATTTTTAGAAAGAGGAACTCCCAGAATGATTAGTATTTAACCCGGAGGCCTGAATCACCAGCAGGGAAATTAGGCCATGTGGGTGGGGAAGGAAGAGGCCCCCTAAGGCCCTTGCATCATTCCATCCATGTGAGGGGCTCCTTCTAGTCTGGGGACCCCATGCTTCCCTGCTGGAGGGTGTGTCAGCCCCATCTCTACACGGCCTGGGACAGGAGAGGTGGCTGGCCGTGCCTACCCCCCAACAGTGGGGCTGCTGAGGGCACTGACTCTGCCGGAGGGGAGGAGACCAAGAGGGGCTGCTTTGTGGCAGCCCAGCCCGGGAAGAAGCCTCTGCCCTCCCCTTCCCTAACCCCAGACATTTCCTCCAGATGAACTCACATCTCCAGCAGGCCAGCGAACAGGCCCTCATTGTGATGGGCTGGGGTCCTGAGAGAAAGGGTGCCTTTCAGGCCCCTAAAAATAGCAGCCCTGAGATTTACGAATATGTAGCCAGAGTGGCCTGGCCCCTCCTCCCAAGCCCCATGCAGCCAGACCCTGCCACCCACACCCAAGACCATGCATGACCTGCTGGTGACCTGCTGGAGGGTCCACCAGCCTGAATGATGAGAAGGGGGAGCGAAATTCGAGAGCCCACAGGGGGTTCTCATGCACCCCCTCTGGCCACAATGGGCTCTGGCATCTGTCCAGCAAGTCTTCCTTCATGGGGGCCTCACCAGGACTTAAGACACGAGGGTAATCCCATTCTACAGTTGAGAAAACTGAGGCACAACCAGGGAGGTGCTCAGTAGGCAGCCTGCCTCCTTGCCACTGTGCCTAGAGGTGCTTACAGTAGGTACCAGCCACCCCCACACTCAGGCACAGGCTGTGATCCTCATCTGGTGTGACCACTCAGGGCTTAGGTACTGGCACTGAGCTGGGGCAGGGGCCGCCCTGGCCATCTTGCCCTCTGCAGGGCCCTTTTCCCTGTCTGAGGACTGGTACGTGATTCCAAGGTTGCTGGGTGAGCACAAGTGTTGCTGATTCCAGATTCTCTACCAGGTGAAAGCTGGGGCGAGCAGAGTGTTACCCCCCACCCCATCTACCACCCTCCCGCAGCCATCCATGGGATCTACCTGGTCATGAGCTGTCCTAGGCTGGTGGCAGAGCCGGACAGGTGGCAGATCGCACGGAGGCAGCTACTATCCCTCCATCTCCTCCCCAGCCCCGTGTGGCTGGGGCAGAACCCCGAGTTACACCTGCTAGGAGGCTGCGTACCCTGCCGGACCCCTCCCACTTCACTGTCTCTTTGAGAAGGGGCTCCTAACTGCCCCCTGTAAGCCCCACCTCCCCAGCCTCGTCCAAAAGCCACGTGGGTGACCACCTGCCGACAGCCCTCTTTTGTCCCCTCCCAGCCCTGTATTTCCTTTCTGTGTAGGTGCCAGATGCTGCCCTGTCAAAGCCCCCATCCCCGGCCACCCCACCACCAAGGCTCCCTCGCTTTCCATCCTCCTGGCTTCCCAGAATCCGGGCTCCGACTCCTCCTCGGAGAGAGAGGGGGATGATGTCACTTCCTGAGGGTGGGGGAAGGAGTAGGCACGACCCCGCAGCCAGCCCGCCAGCCCGCCCTGCCGGCCGCCGCCGCTCACCCGCCTGCGGCAGGAGCAGCCCTGGCAGGGCTGGATGGAGTGGCTGCACGGGGGCCAGGGACAAGGAGACAGGACGGGCTGGACATGCTGGCCGGCCCCCCGACCCCACGCCCCCCAGCCCCGGCCGCCCCGAGGACGATGCCTGCTGGCCGGGGAAGATTTGGTCGCTTCCTGCTGGTCTCTGCGGACCCACGGGGAGAGGAGGACCTGCCGCTCGCCCCTGGACCAGGTGCCATGCAAGCCTCTGCCCGCCCAGGGACGGCTGCCCAGCAGCAGAGGTCATCCCACAGGGTTCAGGATGGGGACTGCCCCAGAGCCCCTCCTGGGTGTCTCCCAGGAACCTCTGCCCACGCTGTCCTGGGATGGGGGTGTCTCCCTGGGTGCTCCTTTCTGAGCCAAAGTATGGTTAGTTGATTCCAACTACTTGAGAGTTGGGAACCAGTGGAGCAGGGCAGGCTGCTTGGGACAGGGTGGGCTGTCCTGGTGAACTCAGCCAGTGCCCTGCCAGCCAGGCGAGTGACACAAAGCTCCCCTAGGCACACTGTTGCCCCTGGGCTCCACCATATCCTTCTCTCCCAAGAGGCAAGGGTGTGGCTGGGAATTCTGTCCGAAGGGAGCCAGACCAAGTCAGAGAGCTCACATGCCTGTCTCCAGCAAAGCAGGAAATGGACCTGTGCTCCGCTCAGCAGGCACCTTCTGAGCACCTGCTGTGTGCCTAATTTGAGGACCCAGCCACACCTGTCCAGAGTGGGTTTATCCTGCTGGGCTTTGTGTGGAGGGGTGGCTCTGTCTTAGTCTGGGAAGCCCCCACCTCATCCCAAAGGACTGGTGCACTGTGCCAGGTCTCCTAGAAAAGCAGTTAAGGGGGCTTGGAGGCAGGGTTTCCACTGATCCCACACAGGAAGAAAGAAGGGGTGAGCCCAGGACTTTGATAAAGCTGGGCAGTTACTGTTGTGGTGACCCAGACAGTGTCAGTCTGGGGGTCCAGTAGAGACTTGGGGTTAAGGCTGGAGCCAGACTTGCATGGTCAAGGTCCTTTGTGCTGGTTTGGGCAGGAGGCGGCTGCTTGTCCAGGCTGAGTCAGTATTTGCAGTGACCTGGGGATCCCTGGGCCTGGACTTGGGACTTGTGGTGGTCAGTGTCATAGACGCCTGTGCTACTGGTCACCTCTGGGACTAGGGTGCTGGGGACCCCCTGCAACTCCAGGACCTGTGCTTCCTTCCAGGAGGTGAGCACCAGGCCCGCTGAGCCTCCCCGAGCTGCCAGCCATGCCCGGGATCGTGGTGTTCCGGCGGCGCTGGTCTGTGGGCAGCGATGACCTCGTCTTGCCAGCCATCTTCCTCTTCCTCCTGCACACCACCTGGTGAGCCGTCTGGGGGGTGGGGTTGGGGCAGGGATGGGAGTGCTGCCTGCCAGGCCTGTGGTTGGGGGAAAGTCCTGGAAGGAACCTTTGCAGCCATTGGTTCCCCCTGCCTGGGTGTCATCCTGACCCAGTTCCCAAGAGGAAGTGTCCAAAACATCACATCCCTTAGGGCACCACCCAGAGAACCCCCTGGCCGGCTCTGCGCCTGTCCCTAGTGCTGATGGAGATGCTGCACAGCTGGGTTTCCAGGCACCCCAGCCCAGCCCTGAGGACATCTTCCTGGGGGGTAGGATCTGGTACCAGTGGACAGAGGTCTTGGGAGCAGGCGCACCTGCCAGACTTGGCCTCACTGGCTGGTCTGCCCACAGGTTTGTGATCCTGTCCGTGGTGCTCTTCGGCCTGGTCTACAACCCACACGAGGCCTGTTCCCTGAACCTGGTGGACCACGGCCGCGGCTACCTGGGCATCCTGCTGAGCTGCATGATCGCCGAGATGGCCATCATCTGGCTGAGCATGCGTGGGGGCATCCTCTACACAGAGCCACGCGACTCCATGCAGTACGTGCTCTACGTGCGCCTGGGTAAGGGCCACCCGCCTCGGGTGGGGGGCTGCTCCAGACCCCAACCTGCGCGCTCCTCCTGCACTCACCGTCTCCCACCACCGCCGCCAGGGACGGATTTGTGCCGTGAGACGGGCACGTGCCTGCAGTGGGTATAGCAGGGAGCTGAGATTGGGGTTGACATCCTGAATGAAAGGCAGGCAGACTGTGGCTTTATAAATAAAGTCTTATTGGAATACATGCATTAATGTATGTATAAGGACACTGCGGGAAGTTCATGGAAAATGGATTTAAGATCTTTATTTTGGTGCAAGAAAGAAAATCCATGCATAGTTGTTTGTGTTTTTTTCCCATAATATACATTTTCTAAGAACTTTTAAGACTCCATGTTGTACATGGCTTTCAAAAAATTTATTCATGCGTTTTTAAAGATTGATTGATTTGAAAAGGAGAATAACAGAGAGATTGAGAGAGAGAATTTGCCTTCTGGTTCACTCCCCAAATGGCTGCAGTGGGCAGTGCAGGGCCAGGCTGAAGCCAGGAACCAGGAGCTGCTTCTGGGTCTCCCATGTGAGTGGCTAGGGCCCAAGCACTTAGTCCATCCTCTACTGCCTTCCCAGGTGCATTTGTGAGGAGCTGGATCGGAAGTGGAGTAGCTGGTACTGGAACTGGCACTCACATAGGGTACCAGCATCATAGATACTGGCCGCTTAACCTGCTCTGCCACAGGGCCAGCCCCCTGTAATCTCTGAACAAAAAGAAATGTATGTTTTGGTTCCCATGAGCTTTCTGAGGTTCCCTCTCATTGTCTCTGGCTGCTATGGCATGGCAACCAGCACAGCTAAACTGCTGCTCCGAAGGCCTGGCTGGCTGGCCAGGGCTTGCTCTCGGCCTCCTCCAGTCCGCCAGCTGGCCCCAGTTCTGATTTTCCCAGTCCAGCTGCCCCTCCCTTCTGGGGAAGCTCCCCGCAGGGCCAGCCTGAGCCCCTCCTCCCCACCTTTCCTTGGGACCACCGCCCTCCTTCTCTCGCTTGTTGCTGTGTGCTGGGCTGGTCCCGGCCCTGTGTCAGCTCACAGGGAGGAGCAAGCTGTCCCCAGCCTGGATTGCTAGAAGGGAACCTGGGGCCCGTCGGACTCATTGGCTTTCTCAAGGTCACACAGCGGGGACGTGCATATTGAGCTGGGCTCTGGCACTTGGGTTCTTAGCTGCCCACAGAGCCATGGATTCCAGATGTGCTTCTCTTAACCCACCCCAGAGAAATCAGGGCACTCACCCAAGACATGTGAGACTCAGGGTACGTGCGTGACATCCTGGGGTCCCAAGGCACCCCAGGTACTAAGGGAGATGCCCCTTCACCTACCCACTGGCTGTCCCAGCCACCTGTTCAGGGAGACGCCAGGGACAAAACAGTTCACAGGGGACAGGGAAGGGCTAACAGGTGGGAGGGATAGCAGAACAGGCAGGGGGAGAGGTGGGGCCTGCAGGAGGAGGGACCAGGCCAGGTGGTAGGGCCCTTCGCTCTCAGCAGACAGTGGCCTTCCTTCAGCCAGTGCCTGCTCTCCTCGCAGCCATCCTGGTGATCGAGTTCATCTATGCCATTGTGGGCATCGTGTGGCTCACGCAGTACTACACCTCCTGCAACGACCTCACCGCCAAGAACGTCACCCTGGGTATGTTGGGTATGACCAGCTGGGGGCGGCGGGGATGGGGAAGGGGCAGTGGCAGAGAGGAGGGGGTCCGGCACTACCAGGGGGCACTGGCAGGGCAGGAGTAGGCTGCTTGCTCCCCACTCCCTGGGGCCCTCTGGCCTGGGGTGGGCCATGGCAGCAGCTGGGCCTCTTCTGTATCCCCTCGGAAGCCCGCACGGCTGCCTGCTGTGAGGGCAGGCTTCAGGATCATGGCCGCCCCAGAGTTGGGCAGTGGGTGGCTGGAAGGCACGGTTTCTGAGCCTCACTCAGGAGGCCTGGTGGCAGTTGACAGTAACTCCCTCCTTCCGGCCCCTGAGCCCAGGAGATGACCCCAGCACTGGTACATGCATCTGTCACCCTCCCCCCTAACCAGGGATGGTCGTGTGCAACTGGGTGGTCATCCTGAGTGTGTGCATCACCGTCCTCTGTGTCTTCGACCCCACGGGCCGCACCTTCGTGAAGCTCAGAGCCACCAAGAGGAGACAGCGCAACTTGCGGACCTACAACCTGCGGTCAGTCAGCCGGGTGGGCAGCCAGGCCGGGTGCAGGACTCTGCTGATGGTGGGTGGGAACAGGTTCCTGCTCGCTATGGGGCTCCCCAGCTACACATCAGCTTCATGGAGCCGTGCCTCAGTCTCCTTGTCTCTGAAATGGGCATGCTACCAGCTCCTGCCTGGTGATGTCAGTGTGAGACTTCAAGGAGATGCAGCCTGACATAGTCGCAATGGTGGCCATGATAATGCAGAGACAGCCATAAACCGAGCAAGGCACTGCAGGCACTAAGTTACAGCAACTCCAAGAGAAAGCTGCTACTGTCTGCCCTGCGATGCAGACGGGCAAACCAGGCACAGAGAGGTCGTGGGACATGGCCTGAGGTTGCACAGCTAGTGAGTGGTGAGGCCTGGATGAGCTGTTACCTCTGGGATTCAGGGGTTGGAGGAGGTTAATCAAGGAGTGCATCCTGGAGGGGGTGTTTATGTGGCATTTGAGAGAAGGGAGAGCGTTAGGGCATGGCAAAGAACATGAGAGAGGCCATTAGGCAGGGTCATAGTCATTCCCTTTTATTGAGAGAGAAAGTTGGGCTTGGAATTGGGAGGCCCCTTGGGGGCTGCTGCCAACACAGCCTCAGCTCCGACTTTGCTGCTGTGCCGGGCCCTTCTCATCCTTGGGTGTCTCATGCCCCGGCCAACCCGCAGTGCAGCTACAAGTCCCATCCTGTAGATGAGGATCTCCAAGCTCCTGGCCTCAGGAGCTGTGGGGCCTGGAAGCACCACCCGGGCCCCAGCCCCAGCCTCCTGCCTTTTGGCTCCCCAACAGACCTTCCCCGTTCAACTTGGCTCCGTGGCCAGAGCCACACCCGTGCCTGGTCTGGCCGCCCCCCAGCCCAAAATGTCAGGCTTGGAGGTGGGGTCCCTCGCAGCCCCCCGCATCACTGCTCCCCTGCTTGCTCCGAGCACGCGTCCTTGTTGGTGCAGGCGGCCCGGGCAGCTGGAGCGAGGGGTCCCTGCGGTAGCCATCCGACAGCATCCTTGTGGTCTCCGGGCCCTATGAGGCGAGAGGAGCCAGAGCCACCCCTGTCCATCCTCTGTCACCCTCATGAGTTCTCAGCCCCTGCCGGGAGCTGGGGGTCTGGTTCAGTCGGACCACTCTTCCACCCGCCCTCCCTCCCTGCTCTAACACCAATGATTTTTCTGGAAAGAACATCTGCAAACCAGCACCCCCCTGCCACACGCTCTGGGTTATTTTGGGTTTGGGACGTCAGGGAGCTGTTGATGTCCTTGCCCTCTTTCCTTTCAATGAGCTCTGGTCGGGCACTGGTGGAAGAGATTGTGGGAGGGTTTGCTCCCAGCATTACCCACTGAGAGCCTTGGCCTTATGGTTTTCGCCGCAGGAGTGTCTGCATCTCCGTTTGCTTAGGGAGGCACAAGACAGAGGGCTGCTGGACCCGTGGACTTTCTGTCCAGGCTTAGTGTGTGTCCGCGTGTCTCATCTCCGTAGCATTATTGATGCACTTGGCTGAAGTGGACACCTCACTTGCATTCCTGAGGGTATCTGCCCCCTGGTGTGAGTAAAGGGAACTGCAATGTGGTGTTGGCACTTCATCTGGCCTGGGGCCCAGCAGGAAGTTGCTTGCCCAGGAGGTGGGATCCAGGTCTGCAATGTGAGGCTGCCGCACATCTTGGAGCAGCAGGCCTGTCACCTTTCCTAGCCTCCTCCTGTAGCTCCAGAAGACCCTGCCACTTGCTCTCTCTCCCTCCCTGTGGCTACTGACATGTAGAACCACGCTGTGGGAGTAGGGAGCCGGAAAGCTCGAGCCAGGCCCAGCTGGTCACTTTCTGATGGGTGTTAAGTACCTAAACCTGCGAGGGCCACCTCTGCCTTTCTCTCATGACTGCCCCGCATCAGGCTTTGAAGAGGCCAGCATGTGGCACACAGGTCAGCTGAGTGCTTGCCTGATCAGCAAGCTGCACTGCACCTGTGAGATGTGTGGTGGAAACACGTGGACTTCCCAGCACCCTGTGTTGGGAGGCGCCTCTTGGGGCTCTTAGTCGTCACTATGCCTCCAGGCATAGACTGAATATCCTGGTTCCCCATGGTAACAGGGAGATCCTCCTTGGGGCTGGGAGTCGGGGTTGGGGGAGGTAGCTATATGGAAGGCTGGCACCGGTTCTTGCTTTAGTAACAGGTCAGGGAAGGGCAGGCCTCCTTCAGTCCATTCGTTTCTTGGGGTTCAGGGGATGTGCACCTCTTAGCCCTTTCTTGAAGAAAAACAGTCCTTGTCTTGCAGCTCCATTCCAGGGCTTGGAGGAAGATGTTGGAGAGGCCCAGAGCTTGCTCTCGCCTCCTACGCCCTTATTTGGAGCCTTTGAACCCCCAAATTGCCAAGTAGCCCTGTCTGGGCCCTGGCTCAGGAGCCCCCAGGGCACGCCTGTGTTCAGGTTTCTAAATGCTGAGGACTGTGCCACCCTCCCACCCTCACCCCTGGCCAGCAGCTCACCCTGTTAAGCCGGTAGGAATCCCGCCAGGACCACCCCTGCTAGCTGGCAGCCAGATCACTGGTCACCCAGTTTGGCCAGGCCTGGGCCCTATTCTCCCCCAGACTCTGGTCAGGTCCTGGGAACATGCCATCCTATTTCCAGAAAGTCTGAGCCACAGCCCTTCTGGTCCAGCCCTCTGACCTCACACATCATCACTCCGCCTTTTGCAGGCACCGCTTAGAGGAGGGTCAGGCCACCAGCTGGTCCCGCCGGCTCAAAGTGTTCCTGTGCTGCACGCGGACCAAGGACTCCCAGTCAGTAAGTACTGGGACGTCACCTCCCTCTGCTCTCAGCCCACAGGTCGGGGCTGCCTGCCTCCTTTGGCAAAGCCAGATGGGGAAGAGCCATGAAGACTTTGCACAGGGCCCCTCGGCACCTGCAGTCTGCAGTGGATAGGAAAACTGCTGGCGAAGAGCAGCACCAAAGCCCATGGAGACTGACGGGCAGTGCCCGCTGACGCACAGTGCACCCGCCTTCCACCCCAGGAGCTCTGAGCAGGGGCTAGGGGGGTCGCACTTGCTGACCTTTACTGCTAAAGGAAGATGGGGTGGGCTTGGGTTGCCCCGGGGAGAAAAGAGGGGAGGCGGAACCCACAGTGCCAGGCAGGAACCACTCCTTGCTCTACACCTCAGGCAGCTGAGTCCAAGAGGGACTAACCACTGAGTAGCAGAGCCAGTGAGGGCAGGAGACCTCTCCCTGCAGGGCAGGCGGCCCAATTCCACACACACAACCCCTCAGCTCCCATGGAAGTCTCCAGGAAAGTCCAGACACTGTGGTGCACCCAAGAGTGAGCACGCATGTGCAAGAATACCCCCCTCCTGCCCTGGTTCTCTAGCTGGTTCCTCTGGGAGGGTCTCAGGGCGGGGGGGAGGGGGGCTGCAACCCAGGGCCAGGCCCTAGGCAGGCTCTGCAGGGAGCAATGGCCTGCCACATGGAGACTGGGTCTGCCAGGACCAAGCCAACAGAGAGCACACCCACCCCTCCAGGCTCCCACGCCAAGCCTGGCTGTGTCAGAGCCCAAGGCCCAGCCCCAAGCACATTTGAGTCAGCCTGTGCTGTTGTGCCTTAGGACTCGTGTAGGACACTGACATGGGAAACTCTGAGGCCTTCCTAGGACCCATCTGGGTTTCTCCCGGGCCACTCAGCTGGAGCTGGTAGTGGCTGGCTCTGGCCTCATTATGCATCTGTTTGGCCCTTGCTATTGCCTTGTAGGGAGTGTCGGGTGCTCTAGCGAGAGAGCCAGCAGGACAGGACCAGGTCCTGCCCTCAAGTCTCCAGACAGGTTGGGGAGGATGCCGCAGACTCAAGCGAACGTGTGTGAGGCATGGAAGTCGCCAAGCCCAGCTCTGAGCACAGCCACCCCCTGCCCCAAGGCTGACAATGGCCATCCCCAGGCTGAGGACCTGGAGGGAAGGCAGTGGGGTCTCTGGCCCAGCCATCACACTCCTTCTCACGAAGAGGGGTCACATCGCCCCATGTGACACCTGCCAGGGCCTCGATGGTCCCAGCTGCACAGGGCCACTGTGGGCTAAAGGGGATTTATGGGCCCCCGCCCCTGCAGGAGCTGCCCCTGGAGGCGGGGGGGTTCACACCTGTCTCCTTCCCTCTCCTGCTCCCCCACCCTGAACCTCATAGGATGCCTACTCGGAAATCGCCTACCTCTTCGCCGAGTTTTTCCGGGACCTCGACATCGTGCCATCCGACATCATCGCTGGCCTGGTGCTGCTCCGACAGCGGCAGCGGGCCAAGCGCAATGCCGTGCTGGACGAGGTGGGGGCCGGGCACCGCCTCTTCCCCCTCTCCCTACCCCTGGCACATCTCTGCAGCCCTGTGGCAGCAGTTACTGCTACTGCTGCTGGCGTTGCAGGCCCCTGGCTTCCATCCTGCTGCTCAGTTCCCATGGGCCCTCTTAGGCCCTGGAGGCCACCTGTTTCCATTTGCTTCCAGCCCCTCCTGGCTCACCCCTTCAACAAACATGCCATGGCCCCAGCTTCCCTCCAAGCCATGCACGGCCACTCTGGGGCTGCCTCCCACCCCAAGGACTTGCAATCACAGGGGTCCCTGGCCTTGCTGCCCTCTTCCAGCCAATGGGCAGCATCTGTTAGGCTCTCTTGGCTTCTCACACAAAATCCCCTCCCCAATCCCATGGCCCTGCGCATGTGACCCTCCAGGTTGTAGAGATCTGGAAATCACAGGCTGCCTCGGGCCCCACAGGCCTTTGGGAAACAGGCGGAGCCGGGCAGCCAGAGCCAGTTCCCGGCCACAAGCCAGTGCCCACCCTTGCCTACACCTGTTTTGCAGGCTAACAATGACATCTTGGCCTTCCTCTCTGGGATGCCAGTGACCAGAAACACCAAGTACCTCGACCTGAAGAACTCGGTGAGTTCAGGCTCACCTCCTTCCTCCCCGCCCAGGTCCTCCATCTTGTCCTGCCATGTGGGCTGCGCCTCACTGAACCAGGCCCCCTTGGGCTCTCTGGAGAGCCACCCTCTCAGATCATGCTGCCTCCCCCAGAACTCCCTGCATCATGTGGGCTCATGCAGCCGTGGTGTGACGTTCACAGTCCACCTTCCGCCCCAGGAGCTCTGAGCAGGGGTTAGGGGGTCGTGCCTGTTGGTCGGCTTGGGTGGCCTTGGGGGAAGAGGAGGGGAGGCAGAGCCCACAGCACCAGGCAGCGGCCACCCAGCTGCGTCCCAGAAGGGTGCTGGGTCTCACTCAGCACTCTAAGCCACCGCTGGTTAGTAGCAGAGCTAGCAAGGGCAGAGATCTGACCCTCCAGGGCAGGCAGCCCAGTTCCATCCCCCTCCCGTGGAAGCCTCCAATGGCTCTTTCCCACCAGGCACGGTGATGAGCCCATGGTGCAAGCAGCACACGCCCCTTCCGCCCTGGTTCCCTAGTGGGCAGGGAGCACCCTGTAGGTTCCTCTGGGAAGGTCTCGGGGGCCACAGCCCAGGGCCAGGCCAGGCAGGCTGTGTGGAGGGCAGAGAGCCATCCCCTGGCACATGGAGGCTGGGTCTGCTGGGCTAGGCCAAGGAGGGCACACCCAACCCTCCTGGCTCCCAGACCAACCCCAGTCCCAGCCCAGGGTCCAGATGGGTGTGCACTTGTTCTTCCTCCTGTCACTGTGACCTCAGGCTAGCCCTTCGTCCCTCCAAGCCTGTTCTATAGCCATAAAATGGCAGCAGGCACTCTTTCCAGCCAGAGCAGTGGGAGGTAATGGGCTAGCTGCAGGCCAGGCCCTGGCACTGTGCAGTGAATAGCACTAAGCGGGACGCTGCATGAAAGCAGCCAGCCCCCACAGACATCTCAGTCTGTTCCTATGCTTCCTGTCCCCACCGTGTCCACAGTGGGTGCCCCCAAACCAGCCTTCTCTGGTTGCTGGGACCTGCTGTGCCTCACTCTGGCTGGCTCCTGCCACTTGAACCAGGAGCAGGGACAGACACAGGCAGAGGTACCAGGGTCTGCACCTGCTACCTGGCAGGGCTGCCCGGGCCCCACCCACCCTGCCCAGCTGGCAGGGAGCTCCCAACACAGACAGGGTAATTACCCCTGCCGTTCCTCAAGAGCAGTCACGGCCAGCCCGGGGCCCTCTCCGCCCCCCTGAGCCCTGATTAAGGACTACCTTTTCCACTTCACAGGGTGACTAATCACCCTCCTTAACTTTTACAAGCTGAGTAATTCCCTCTAAGTGCTGGGGCACCCAGTGCCTGGGGTGAGGGTGGGGAAGCTGACCAGATCGTGGAACACCTTTCTAGCAGAGAAATCCTTTCTCTGCAGACATGCCCACCCCCAGTCTTGGGGAACTGGGACCCCGACAGCCAAGCTGCAGCCCCCCACCCCCCGTTCAGAAAGAACCCAAGGGACCGAGAGCTTGGCCCACTGCTTCCTTGCCCAGCCTTGCCTGCCCCGCTGCCCAAGACTTGGCTACCCAGCCCCACCGAAACACCTGTGCCCTGCACCCTGAAGGCCTCAGATTGAGCTTCCCACCAGCAAGGCCCCTCCCCAGGGGCAAGGTGAAGCGAGCCTGTCACCCTTTGCCTTCCCCAGCAAGGCAGGCAAGGAAAATTGGTCCAGTGCACGGAGTGATTTTCTGTCCCTAAATCATTAATTCCAAGGTTGGAGCAACAGGATGGGTCCCAGGAGGACACGTGCCCCGGTTGCATGGAGATAATTATGGAAATGCAATTATCTTCTTTGGAAGATTGGAAGAGGAGGAGGGGCGAGCAGCCCCCACTACCCCCAACCCAGTCCTGCTTCTAGGGGAGGGGTGGGTGGCCCTGAGGCTGACAGGGCATGCCCTCCACCTTGTGTCTCCCAGCAAGAGATGCTCCGTTACAAAGAGGTCTGCTACTACATGCTCTTCGCCCTGGCGGCCTACGGCTGGCCCATGTACCTGATGCGGAAGCCAGCCTGCGGCCTCTGCCAGCTGGCCCGGTCCTGCTCGTGAGTACCGAGTCCCACGCCCCCGGCCACCGCAGGGCCGCTGTCCTGCTCCTCCACCCGTCCTCCTCCCCCTTCCCCCATCCATGCTCCCGAGGCCTGCTTTCCTTCTATAACTGTGCCAGACTTGAGCCCACCATCCTGTGTCGTCCCCAGGCAGTTCGCCGAGCTCCAGGGGCAGAACCCTGACTTGGCCATGCACAGCCTTGGGTTACATGAGCGGTGCCTGTGAGCCTCAGCTATGTCATCTGTAAAATGGGAGTGGCATCTGGGGCGAGGGCTACGTGGAACATCTGGCCGAGCCTACACTGCCTTCCCTTGCATCAGCTTGTTCTCGCTCTCGTCGTTTCTCTGGCCTGTCAGTTACTCTTTTTTTTTTTTCCTTCATTTTAATTTTTATTTTAAATTTTGAATTTTATGGTACAATTCTATAGAGTCTGGGGTTCCCCCCGCCAGTTCCCACCCTGTCTGTCCCTCTGTGCCCTGATTGCTGGTGGCAAGGCCAGGCCAGGGCAGTCTGTGGAAAGGCCTCAGAAGGCCCTTGCTTTAGTTAAGGACTCCACTGGCACCCTAGGAAGCGGGAGGGGCCTCCGCCCCGGGTCTGGCCTGTAGTCTGACCCCACTCTCACCCCTGCACTGGACCGCACTGGGAGGGAGCTGGGCCCACCCTACTCTCCCAAGTGGACTGCGGGATGGGCTGCAGGAAGAACTGCTCCCTTCCACGGGGTCTCCATCTCAAGCCAGACCAGGCAGAAGGAGGACAGTTCCCTTGGCGTCTGTTCTAGAAAGGCTGCTGTCCTGTTGGGAGGTGGCTGCCAAGCCTGCCACCCTGGCCTCGGGGTGACAGCAGCCACGCCTCCCGACCACAGCCTCCTTACCCCAGGAGCCTGATGTTCTCACTGTGCCCATGAGAGCAGCCACTCTCGCCATGCCGCCTTCCTGGCTTTGTCCGCTGCATGTGCTGTCGCTTCTCCCTGTATGACCTTGGAAGTCCCAGCCCTGGTGTGGCGACCTGGAATCTGACAGACCCCGCTCCAGTTCCACGCTGGCAGTGTGGAGAGCCTCGGAACCAGAGTCTGCCGTGCCCACCAGAGGGGTTTTGGGAATAAGAGGGGGATCACGTGCAGACGAGGCCATGGTGTGCTGTGTGCGCAGGAGGGTGTCAGAGCCCACATTAGAATTGTTAGTGCAGGTGAAGAGAGAGAAAGCAGGGAGTCCTCAGAGCCCAGCAGCCCCCAGGCCAGTCGCTGCCCAGAAGAGCCAGGGGCGGGAAGACACTGCTCTACATCCCAGCCTGTGCACAGCAGCCCTGGCTCCCATGCCAGCTGGAGGAGGGGGCCCCCTGCCTGGATGGAATCCGTGCCTTTCACCTGCCTGTAGTTCTCCCGCACTAAGCAGAGTGGCCAGCCAGGCTTTACCCATAGCCCCGCCACCCTTGGGAGATTGTACTGACCTTTGGCCCTGCCCTGGACATGTGGTCTGTCTCTCCTCTATGGGAAGAGAGGTGTCCTTGGCTGGGCTGGCTGTCAGGTGCCTGTGGCCTCCAGTCTCTCACTGGTTGATCACAGCCTCCTTGGGGACAACTGGGCTACTGGCCCTGCTGCCCTGGAGGCTTTGCCTGGCCTTCAGGTCACTGACTTTTGCAGCCATCTCTGGAGAGAAGGGCAGTCCACATTTATTAAGCCCCTTCTGTGTGCAGGCTTTCTGCATCTTGTTCCTTTGGTCTCATGCCATCTTGTGAAGTAGCTGTTTGTACCCCAGTCTTATGGAATGGGAGGAACTATGGCTCAGAGCAGCTGAATGCCCTCTAGTCCCTAAACAGCCAGGAGGTGACACCCAGAGCAAGGGTCCAAAGGCATCTCCAGCTGCATCCTGTAGAGCCTAGGCTCAACTGAGGTGGGACACGGAGGACCCAGGCCAGCCTCCACCTGAACTGGCCATGTGTGGGCTATGGGCTCTCCCTGGGACCTGCAGCCAAGCTGACCCTATGGTGGCTTTGGAAACCCTAGGCTTTTTCAGCGAGGCCTTGCCCTGCTGGGAATTAACAACCCCTACACATGCAGCTCCCAGCGAGGACAAACTGGTTGGCATCATTGCAATCCACAAGTCTTCATAAAATCTCAGCTGGGGACCTCAGTCAGGTCCAGGCCACATGATCACCAGGCGTCTGCTGCCCCATCTGTTGGGGGTTGGCTCCCTCTGGCGGCCTGTAATGCAACTGCACGCCCTCACTGTGTGGCCAGCTTAGCCGCGTGGGCGGGCTGCTGGGCACCTGGCAGTGAGCATCACAGAGCAGGCCCTGGCTGGGGAGTCCAGGCAAGGAGAGAGAGCTGCAGTGCGTCACAAGCAAGTTGCCTCATCTGGGAGGGGAGGGGGCTGAGACAGGGTGGCGGCCAGGGTGGACCTCACTGTAACATAACCTTTGAGCAGAGCCTGGAAGGAGGTGAGGGGCGAGCCACGCAGTGTCCGGCAGAAGAGCGATTCAGACAGAGAGAGCTGCAGATGCCAGGTCGCTGAGGCAGGAGTGTGTCCAACGCTGGGCTGAGGACAGGCAAGAAGGCTGGAGTGAAGCGAGCCGGGGGTGGGCAGGTCAGAGAGGCCAGGGCCACCTGGGGCAGGGCTCCGGGGCTCCTGTGTGGTGTGAGAAATGCGTGGCTGCAGGGTTTTAAGGGGAAAAGTAGCGTGGCCTGGATTGCGTCAGAAGAGCCATGTGCAGCTAAGCTGAAAGCACAAGGGCGAGTGCAGATGCAGTACAGGTCCAGGGTTCAGTGAGGATGGCAGAGGTGAGGCTGGGTGGATGCTGGGTCTGAGTGCCCACAAGAGGCCTAACCCACAAGGGTGGTGGCACCTCCTGCTGCGGGTGGGTACGGAAGGCTTAGCAGTCTGAGGGTGGTATGTGGGCAGAAGCAGCTGGAGACCATAGCAGGATGCAGCTACTGAGCAGGAAGCGGAGTGTAGCCCCAGCGGCAAGGCACCCAGGGTGGGCGACCTAGGAGGAGAGTGACAGGCTGGGACCCAGGTCAGACAGCAGGGCCTGGCCGGGCCTGGCTGGCACAGTTAGCTGCACGGGGTACCCCTGGTGGGGACTTAGGCAGGAAGTGGGGTCTAACCCAGCTGGAAGCAGCCCTGTAGAGGAAGGGAGGAGGAATGGTCCTGCCAGAAGTCCCCGGCCCTAAGGCCTCTGCTGCCCCCACCCCCAGGTGCTGCCTGTGCCCTGCGCGGCCCCGGTTCGCCCCTGGGGTCACCATTGAGGAAGACAACTGCTGTGGCTGCAATGCAATAGCCATCCGGCGTCACTTCCTGGATGAGAACATGACAGCGGTGGACATCGTCTACACATCCTGCCATGACGCGGTGAGAGCCAGGGCCCAGGGTCAGAAGCAGGCAGCTCAGGCTCTGCAGGGCCAAGGGTGCCCTCTCCCGGCCAGGCTTGCCTAACAGTAGTCTCCACACTGCCCTCAAGCAGACCCTGTGCACACGCATCCCTCTCTCTCCCCCCATTCCCTGGGGCCCTGTACCACCTCTGAGACTAGCAAAGTTAACATCTTGCACCAAGCACTGGGATCCGGCCTCAGGGATGATCCCCACTCCACCCTCGGCAGAGAGGGGCAGGGAGGGATGTGGGGAAGGGACCAGATTTCCTACTTAGGTCAGTGTCCCCAGGTCTGACGCCATCTTGGGGTCACTCAGGTTCACACAGTGCCCACCTCCTAGGTCTACGAGACACCCTTCTATGTGGCAGTGGACCATGACAAGAAGAAGGTGGTGATTAGCATCCGTGGAACTCTGTCCCCCAAGGTACGCTCCTGGCGGGGCTCCCCCCGGCCCCTGGAGGTGCTGCCTCCCACCTCCTGTGCCCTTTGGCTGCTTTCACCTACGCCCTCTCTCCCTCCCAAGGACGCCCTGACGGACCTGACAGGCGACGCTGAGCGCCTCCCTGTGGAGGGGCATCACGGCACCTGGCTGGGTCACAAGGTACCTGCCTCCGGGAGCCCTGCCTACCTGTCACCCTTGCCCCACACCATGCCAACACCTGCTGCTGGGAGGGGGACTCCCGCTGGCTGGACAGGCAGAGGGTGCAGATTCTCCTGGGAGGCCCAGTGGGAGAAGGCGGCGGGTCACACCTTGTCTGTTAGACCCAACACAGAGGGACAGAAGGACAGAAAGATCTTCCATCTATTGGTTCATTCTCCCCAGATGCCCACAGCAGCTGAGCTGTGCGAGGCCCAAGTGCAAAGCCAGGAATTCCATCTAGAACTGCCTCCTGCATGAGCAGGAACGTGGATTGGAGACCTGAGCTGGAACTTGATCCCCCAGTTCCAACGTGCAGTGCTTCCCAGGCAGCAGCCTTCAGAACTGCGAGTCCCCTGTAGTTTGGCTGGTCCCTGGGAAGCCAGCCGTCCACACACCGCTCTGTCCCTCCTGCCCCAGGGGATGGTCCTGTCTGCCGAGTACATCAAGAAGAAGCTGGAGCAGGAGATGGTGCTGTCCCAGGCCTTCGGGCGAGACCTGGTGAGGTGTCCTCCACGCCCTCCGAGTCCTTGCCACCCGGCTCTCTCCCAGCGGGGCACAAAGAAAAGGAGGTGCCTTCTCTCCCACGCAGGCTCCCACCCCCACTGTGGCCCCGAGTGCCCATCAGCCTATGCAGCGTGCCCAGCTCAGCCATACCTGCTGAGCACCTGCTCCTTATAGGCACTTGAGGTGCTGACATGATGCAAGCTGGGGACTTCTGGGAAATTATATGGAGAAGCTTGCAATAGGGAATAGAAGGGCAAAGAAAGCGGTTACTGAGCAGGACGGGAGAGATGCCAGTTTGCTAGGAGGTGTGTCTGGCCCCACAGCTGCCCCGGAGAGGCTGCTTGCTGCCCTTTCCAAAACAGAGCAGCCTCTGGCCTGTCAGGTGGAGGGATGGGAACAAAGCCCACAATTCTAACAGAGTGTGAGCACTAAAGTGATGAAAAACTAAATGAGCAAACGGTCCATCCCAGCTACTCAGAGGTGCCTGGGAAGGAGGGAGCCGCTCCTGGAGAATCAAGGAGGGCTTCCCTGGGGAGAACTCAGGGCAGGGCTTTGAGGAATAAGAAGGAGTTTGTTAGAAGAGCATCCTGGTGGGGACCCAGCAGGGTTCACCCTCTGCCCCTGGCCTCACTGGCATCAGCCCGCATAGCCCAGCAGGCAGCAGGGCAGGGCCCTCAGGCTCCTCTCAACCCCTAGGGTCGCGGCACCAAGCACTACGGCCTGATCGTGGTGGGCCACTCCCTGGGTGCGGGCACCGCTGCCATCCTCTCCTTCCTCCTGCGCCCACAGTACCCGACCCTCAAGTGCTTTGCCTACTCCCCACCGGGAGGCCTGCTGAGGTGAGTGGCCTCAGCAAGTGGGAGGGGCTGCTTGGAGCGCTAAAGGCCAACTGAGTTGGCAGGACAGGGGTGAGAGCCAGCAAGGCTGGCAGCGTCACCAGGCAGGCTGGCTTCTGCTTCCATGGAGGCCTGGGCATGGCTGGGAAAGTGGAGAGTGGTGGTGGGGTAGGGGCTTAGCAGAAGGCCACACATGCTCTTAGATCCATCCTTACCAGGCAGGGTAGGGGCAGGCACCCAGCTCAGTGCCGGTCAGCCCCCATAGGCTTAGAGGCCAGAAGCTGCCCCCAGGAGTGCTGGCCCAGCTCTGCAGCCCAGTGGCCCCTTCCCTGTTTGCCTGAGCTGCACCCCGGCTTCCCTTGCAGTGAGGACGCTATGGAGTACTCCAAGGAGTTTGTGACTGCTGTGGTTCTGGGCAAAGACCTCGTCCCCAGGTAATTCTCTCTTTGGGCCTTACCCACCTCCAACCCCAGACCCCACCACTTCCCCCGCAGACTGCCTGCAGGCTGGCCCTCACCCTGCCAGACCCTCCTCTTCTGGCTCTGCCCTCCTCCCGCATGACCCTGACTGATACTTGATTGGGGGCGGTGGGACCTACCCCTGCTGCCCCGATCCCTGCACCCCACTTCCCTCCCAGCCCCTGGGCTGGCCAGACTGACGCTCCTTCATGGTGCCTCTCCAGGATTGGCCTCTCACAGCTGGAGGGCTTCCGCAGGCAGCTGCTGGACGTGCTACAGCGGAGCACCAAACCCAAGGTAAGCACAACCAGGTGTGCTGACACCGGGCAGCCTTGTGTGGCCCGTCTGGGCTGGAGTGCTGGAGGCCCAAGCCAAGTGAGGCCAAGGCAGGGCTGGGATTTCAGAGTGTCTCCAGGCTCAGTCTGGCCTCTGTCACAAGTACAATTGGGGAAACTGAGGACATGCTTTTGCTCATGTCGAGGTTAAAGCCAAGTGAGGCCTGGGAGTGATGGGCTCCCTTCGCATGGAGCTGCCTGAAGCCAGCGAATAGTCCCATGTGCTTTGAGGGTGATGGGAAGGCACTTCCAGAGCTACTTGAGATGCCCAGGCTTGGGGAGGGATGCAGATGGGCCCTCGGGGAAGACATACAGCTTTTCTGATTCTCCACATAGCTGCTAACCCACAGCAGACCTTTGAGGGAATGGGGCAGGCCAGGCAGGTGGGCAGGGATCCTAGACTCGGGGTCAGACCAAGAGCAGGAGAGAAGCAGATTTGGGCCCACAGGTCTCATGTGTCATGTGCAGTGACCTCCCCCTATTCCATCAGCCCCCAGGTGAGCTCAGGCTGGACTGCTGCCAGTTTGGGGGCCCACAGCCCTCTGATAGGCAGGGCCCGAGGGCAGGTGGCAGGTACCTGGTCGGGGACAAGGTACTTTTCTTCCTGGAGGAGCCTGGTACTAGAGAAGTAGAAATACTCCTACCAGACCCAGGCCTGGGCATCTGTCAGGCCTGAGAGGCAGGCAGCTGGGAGTTAATGGAGATGTGGCCAGGCCTGGCAGGTATAGCTGGCTCAGCTTTCCCTCTGACCTGCTGAATGACCTCATGTAACTCCCATCCCCTCACTGGGCCTGTCTCCCCATCCCAGCCTCTGGTCAGCCCCAGAAGTCAGCATTGCCATGTCTTCTGTCCTTGGCATCTTAGTGGCCATCTGACTATGTAAATCTCAGGTGGGCACTGACTAATGCTCTAGCCACCATCCTGCCCAGCCCACCTTTGACCTCCCACCCACCCCACCGAGCCCTCTTCCCAAGCCCCCATCTCTGTCCACCTGGGGTGCTCAGCTCTGTCCCCATCTCTCCTACCCCACCCTAGTGGAGAATCATCGTGGGGGCCACCAAATGCATCCCCAAATCAGAGCTGCCCGAGGAGGTGGAGGTGACCACCCTGGCCAGCACACGGCTCTGGACCCACCCCAGTGACCTCACCATTGCCCTCTCAGCCAGTACCCCACTGTACCCGCCAGGCCGCATCATCCACGTGGTCCACAACCACCCTGCCGAGCAGTGCTGGTAGGTGCCACCAGCACTGGGCCCACCCCTGGGGATGTGGGCAGGGGCTGGGGGGAAAGATCCAGGCTCTTCTCTGGATGGTCCCAGTCTCCACCAGGGTGGGCCCTGGGCTGTCTCCTACAGTGCATGTCCTGGAGAGCCACATTAGCTTTGTCACTTTTATGAACAAGAGAGGTCTGTTGAGCTCCCAGTTTGGGAAGTGCTGGTCCGGGATGGAGTGGCCCCATCACTTTGCTGTCTGGTGAGAGTGACGAGTGACAGCTGGCAGGGATGGAGCAAAGGAGCCAAGGGCCAGCCAGGAAGCTGGTCAGGGAACGGACCTGACACTGGTTCCTACAAGGAAACCTGACTTCCAAGGGCACGTCCTTAGGCCCTGAGGGCCTCCACTGTGGCCCCACTTCCTGGGTGCCGCAGCTAGAAGCCATTTCCACCTGCTCAGTGCCCTTAACTGAGATGTAAGTGTCCTCAGGAACCATATTCAGCCCATAGCAGGGGTCACCCCATGGCCTTGAGCAGCTTACACCCCAGCTGAGCCCTGGCGTCTCCCAGGGATTCATTGGGCAGCAACTGAAAGTCAGGATGGGGGCTGAGACAGGTGAGAAGGAAAGGGGGTGCTTTGATAGGCTCCTCCCACTTCCTGCTCTGCCAGCTGTCCCCCAACACACACACTCACACACACACACACCACCACCACCACCACAGATGGGAAGTTTGGCTTTGCCCAGGGTGGAGCAGCAAGCAGGCAGGAGGCTGGGTAGGGATCATGGCTGAGGGCCAGCAAGGAGCCAGGCCCCCAGGACACAGCCCTACTGACCGGGCTGGGCAGAGGACCTCCACATCAGGGACGCCAGGGCACAACGCTCAGGCCTCCACCCCGCCCTCATTTGCCCGATCCGCCTCAGCTGCTGTGAGCAGGAGGAGCCCACGTACTTTGCCATCTGGGGAGACAATAAGGCCTTCAACGAGGTGATCATCTCGCCGGCCATGCTGCATGAGCATCTCCCCTACGTGGTCATGGAGGGGCTCAACAAGGTGAGCTGTGCCCAGCACCTGGGACTGAGCCTGTGGGAGAGGAGGGTACCCCCCACCCTGTTCCATCACAGCCCAGTCCCTAGCTGGGCCCCAGGGGTGGGGCAGAAAGCCCCACCTACAGATCCCCCAGTTCTGTCCACACTGTCCCCATGGAGAGGCATTCAGGAGATTCCTAGAGCTCTGTCCCCAGGACAAGCTAAGCCAAGCAGCCACAGAGCCCACGTGGCCTTTAGCAGGTGCACAGCCAGGAGGCCTTGCTCATTCATCCCCTGGCTGCCCAACACAGGGAAGGCACATCCACCCCCACAGGTCCGTATGCAGAGTACCAGGCTTTTGGCCTTCGATGAGAAGCAGGGTCTCGGGGTGGGGGGAGAGGAGGGTAAGGAGAGTAGACTCCAGCCGGCCACATGGAGCTCCTGCCCATGCCATGGCCCCAGGACTGGGCCTGCCTTCCCCAGCGCTGCCCACTTCCCCATCTTCCCCAGGTGCTGGAGAATTACAACAAGGGGAAGACAGCCCTGCTGTCTGCAGCTAAGGTCATGGTGAGTCCTACAGAGGTGGATCTGACCCCGGAGCTCATCTTCCAGCAGCAGCCGCTGCCCACGGGGCCGCCCATGCCCACTGGCCTGGCCTTGGAGCTGCCTGCTGCAGGCCACGCCAACAGTAGTGTCAGGTGAGCTCTGGACGCTGCCTGGCCCACCCCAGGGGTATGTGAGGGGGAGGACCATGAGCGGTTCAGAGAGCACACACGTGTGTGTACACTCCCTGAGCTCAGCACTCTCGCATGACAACAGAAAGTGCCCCCTCTGTCCCAGCGGCCCTCAGCCTTCTGTCCCCGGAGGGGGCTTCTCATAGACCAGGGGAGTCTGGGCCACCCAGCCCACACACCCACAGAGATTCACTCAGACCCAAACACATGAGCATGTTCACGCTGCCATTTATACACACTCATGTGTTTGTACTGGGGCATCTGTGGGCACATAAACAGGTCACACCAAGACAGGAACAGGGACATATACACCAGGACACATGTAGGAGATATCTGGTCCCCACCCTGTGCACATAAACACCCAGACAATACACAGGTGCACACCTGCACAGGCCGCATCCATGCCTGAGCCACAGGTCTCCTTTACCAGGCAGCAGCCTGGCCAGGGGTCAGCACTCTTGCCCATGATGGGGGATGGCTGCCCCCCAGCCCTCGCCTATGACACTCCGGCTGTCTCTCCCTGCCATGCCAGCATCGCCCAAGGCAGCTGCCCAGCAGCGTGGAGGAGCCCAGGTCCTTTCTCAGCCACCATCCCTGCTGCTGCCACACACTCCCTGCAGGCTGCTATGTGCAGCGAGGGGCTTTTGCCCCCCATCCAAGGGAGAGGCTGGAGGAAGGCAGGAGGGGAGTCCTGAGACCTACACAGAGGGAGGTTCTCGGAGGGGGAGCCAAGCTGAGGCAGCTCTGAGCAGGACCCTCTTCCTCCCATCTTGTCTTCTTCCTCTTCTGCATCCCTCTGACCCCATCCCATGAGACTCCTGCTGGGCCTCCCATCAATAACGACCAAGAAGCCAGCACAGGGATCAGCAGCAGTGCTGCCCCAGCCCCCAGTGCAGCAGCTCAGGGCACCAGACCAGTCTTCCGGCTTGGCTGGTTTTTAAATAAGGATTCCCTGCCTGCCGAGTTGAATGAACTGTCGGTACCCTAGTGTGGGAACTGGCCTGGGGAGTGGGGGGACAAGGTCAGCCTCTGCACCTTCAAGGCTCACCCCGCCTCCCTGTGCCCCTTTCCACTGCAGGAGCAAGTCCCAGTCGGAGATGAGCCTGGAGGGTTTCTCCGAGGGGCGTCTGCTGTCCCCCGTGGCCGCCGCGGCAGCCCGCCAGGACCCCGTGGAGCTGCTGTTGCTGTCCACACAGGAGCGGCTGGCGGCGGAGCTGCAGGCCCGGCGGGCGCCGCTGGCCACCATGGAGAGTCTGTCGGACACAGAGTCCTTGTACAGCTTCGACTCGCGCCGCTCCTCCGGCTTCCGCAGCATCCGCGGCTCGCCCAGCCTGCATGCCGTGCTGGAGCGCGACGAGGGCCACCTCTTCTACATCGATCCCGCCATCCCGGAGGAGAATCCATCGCTGAGCTCGCGCACCGAGCTGCTGGCGGCGGACAGCCTGTCCAAGCACTCGCAGGACACGCAGCCGCTCGAGGCGGCCCCGGGCAGCGGGGGCGTCACCCCCGAGCGGCCCCCGAGCGCGGCTGCCAATGAGGAGGAGGTGGAGGCGGGCAGGGACGGCGGCGCACCCGCCCCGCGCAGCGAGCTGGCCCTGCACAACGGGCGCCTAGGGGACTCGCCCAGCCCCCAGGTGCTGGAGTTCGCCGAGTTCATCGACAGCCTGTTCAACCTGGACAGCAAGAGCAGCTCCTTCCAGGACCTCTACTGCATGGTGGTGCCCGAGAGCCCCACGAGCGACTACACCGAGGGCCCCAAGTCCCCCAGCCAGCAAGAGATCCTCCTCCGGGCCCAGTTCGAGCCCAACCTGGTGCCCAAGCCCCCGCGGCTTTTTGCCGGCTCTGCCGACCCTTCCTCGGGCATCTCCCTCTCGCCCTCCTTCCCGCTCAGCTCCTCCGGGGAGCTCATGGACCTGACGCCCACCGGCCTCAGCAGCCAGGAGTGCCTGGCCACTGACAAGATCCGGACTTCGACCCCCACGGGCCACGGGGCCAGCCCAGTCAAGCAGGATGACCTAGTCATCTCGGCACGCTAGCACACCCCCACCCCACCACCACAGCTGCTTCCAGCCGAGGGGCCCAGGGCAGAGTGTGGGGGCTCCACGTGGGCATGGGGCATCACTGCGCTGAGCTTGGGGGTCCGCATCCCTACCTCAGCCTAGGACCCCCAGAGCCAAGGTGGCTGGGATCTGGTTCCCCATATGAGGAAAGCTGGAGGAGCCCAGGACGACCTGGGGTGACTGGGCCATCCTCAGTCTGACGGCACCTCTTGCCCTGCGTCAGGGCGTAGGACGCTGGCCACCCTCACTGCCCCTTGGCTGCATTGCCCAGGCCACACCTTAGAGCAGTGCCTGCACATATACTGTCCTCTATGGACCAGGTTGGCACCTGCCCTGGGCACCCCCCTCCTCGGGACTCCCTGCCCCACCCCACCAAGGTGGCCCACAGTACTGTATGTGTTTACAGAAGCTGCTGGGCAGGCTCAGGGTCTGCCCTGGGCTTCTTGCAAGCCCTGTCCCCCCATCTCCCTCCCACTGCCACCTACCTAGAAGCTGCCTCCCTACAGGGCCTGGGAAAGCCTGCTGGGGAATGGGGTGAGGATTAGTCCTTCTCTGCCCGTACCCCTTAACACTAACCCCGTGTCTGAGTCCTACATACCCTGGTCTGCCCTGCTGCCCCCAGGGCTTCCAGCCTTGCAGAGGGTGGTGGGCACTGTTGGGGCACCCCTGGCTGCACGGAGCCTCCTGCCTCTGGGAGGCCCCACTCCTTTATGCACCCAACCCCCATACCTAGACAGCTCTGGGAATCAGGCTTTCTTCCCTCCTACACCAGTGGTCCTGTGGACAGGAAGTGGGGTCAAGAGGGAGGGACTGTGGGACATGGTAAGATACCCTGCAGCCAGATTAGGGGCCAGGAGGGTCAGGGGCTGCCCTGGTCTGCCCCCAGGCTCCCATGGGGGCTCTTTCCCTGTTGGGTTTGGGAAGGTGGATTCCTAGCCTTTCCCGAGAGTGGGCGTGGGGGAGGGCATGCATGCTAGCTAGCGTCAGGCATGTGTGTGCATGTGCGTGAGGAAGGGACTGCCAGGGGCCACCCACCTGACCTGCCCTGCTTGCCTGCTGCCCCTCGCAGCCTGCCGAGCAAACAGTGAACAGGACAGGGCCTGGGAGGCAAGGCCTCAGGACAGGCTCAGTTCCACACACCGCTCACCCCTCCTTGCTCACCTGCTGCCCCGACCCTTGGTTTGGAAGACGCCTGTACCACGGAGCAGGCACCCACCGCCTGCTGGTGCCTTCTCCTCCATGGTCCCTCCCACTCCAGCCTCCCTGGGCCCGCTGGGCTCTCCTCACCCATACCCCATCTCACGATAACTGGGACCTGGAGGCAGAACCCTGATCTTGCCCCGCTCCCAACCTGGTTGTCTTGGATGACAGCCCTGGGAGGACCTGCCAACCCCCCGGTGGATGGGGACAGAGCGCCAGGAGCCAGGTGGTCTGCCACCTCTGTGACACTCCATCCCGGCTGAGGCATGGCGCCCAGCCCAGCACAGAAACAGGACGAAACCAAAGGCTCTCAGAGCATAGAAAGAATCTTAAAAGAAACTTCCCAACAAGCACCTAGCCAGTAGCTGCGAGAGACTCAGTGTCTGGCCTTTTAACTCCTCCTGTGCCCAAGTGTGTCCTAGGCCCTCTAGGGCAGGCATATCACGTGCCCGTGCCCAGGCCTGAGCCATCAGGGACAAACACCCCAGCCCCAAGGCGGCAGCCAAGCTGCGTTGTCACGGGCTTGAGGCTGGGGCATGCTTGGACTCAGCCCTGGACAGCCAGGGCCAGCCCCTCCCCACCAGCCCCAGAAAGATGGGCCTGCTGCACGTTCCCTCCTCCACCTCATGCCACATCTCGGGGGGGTCTGAGCCACCCCCCTCAGCCCAGCTCGGCTCAGCCCGACCCCTACTCCGTCCCCCAGACCCGCAGCACAAGCTCTGCCAGCCACACGCTGGCCTGCCCTCCCGGGGCCTGGGTGACCTCCATATGCAATGGGTAGCGAGCGCCGGGCCCCACACACACCTTGATGCACTCTATATGTGCCATCCTCCCATGAGTTTTTTTTTTTTTTTTTTACTTAATGTATGAAAGATCCACACTAATATTGCTGTAAAAAGGAGAGACAAATTAATATAGCTTATTCTATAAATATATCTGTATATAATGGTTTCTGTATATTGTATAGAGCTATGTATAAACTGGATGTAGAAGCACATGGCTGCCTCGAGTGTCCTCTCTCCCCACCTGGCAAGTGACCGGGACATACCTTACAGGAACCAGGGGACAATTAAGATCCCTTACGCTCAAGCCTGTCGGGCTGCAAAGACACAGGTATGTGGCTTAGGTACAGCCCGGTTGGTGGCTGGATATTGGGTTAAAACTGCTGCTTGGAGTTCACTAGGCACCCCTGTACACCAGGCTCCCTTGCAAGGGTAGATATTAACCAGCATTTCCCACCTGCATCCTGGCCCAGCATCACGTTGTGCGTGGGACACAGAGCTGAGACGCGCTGAGGCCCCAGGAGACAGGGCTACCCAGTCCTGCCCAGGTGGGAGGGGCCCCAGGGGATTTAGGCTCTATGTCCATGCAGCACCTTTTCCCTCTAGGAGGGATCTGAACCCAGAAAGCATCCACATGTGCCCAGGACTGCAGTGCCAACAACTGGGATACCAGACCAGTATGACTGCATATGCCCTGCTCCTCCCATGGGAGGGCTCCCAGTGGGATAGCACTGAAACACAGGTACTACCAGAAGCCTCTGCTGAGCTCCCCCAGGGACACGTCTTCATCTTGGCTCCGGGGAGTGAATCCAGGGGAATGGATTGAAGGCCAAGGGTGGACAAGCAGCCAAGGCCTCCTGCCAGTCTGAGGCTGGGTCCTGCTCCCTCTGCACAGCAGGGGGCGCTGTTCCTATAGCCTGGCCTGCAGAGCTTGCCTTCCCAGCCCAGCCAGCCAAGGGACCCAAGCCTGCCGCCCCAAGTCCAGGATGACCATGCTTGGTGAGGGGTTGGGATGTCAGATAAATAAGCTTCTTAGCCTTGGGGCCCTCTTCACCTGCAGTGTCTGAACAAGAGACAGACCTCCTAAGGGTCAACACCTGCTCACAGCCCCGCAGCAGTAGGGGCAGACCTAGGACCTGAATCTGGGCCTCCCTGTGCAGAAGCAGAAGAAAGTTGGGGGGTCACAGGGGTTGTGGGCTTGCCCGAGCCACACAGCAGAGCCTGGTGAGAAGCAGTGCCCAGCCTCACTGTCCCCACGCAGGACATGAAGACAGCCCCTCCTGGAGTACACCTGCAGCTGCCCACTCCCCCTGCACGCCATGCCCAGTCACCCAAATCCGGGAAGCCACACCCAGACCTCACTGACTCACCAGCTTCACACTCACCACCCTGTGTCCTTCCTGTTTCCCCCTTGGCAAATGGGCTACTGCCAGGGCTGTGTGGACCCCGGGCGGGCAGGAGTCCCAGGTGAGGAGGCGCCTTCTTCTCCTGGACTGGCTCCTTGAGTATCTGTGGCCTCTCCCTGGCTGGCCTCCTGCCTCTGCTGCCCCCTGGGGGATTGGAGAAAGCAAAAGCATCAGGTATCGATCCCTTACCTGACCCTTTACAGCACTAGGAGGTGGGACGATGAGTGTGCCTCCCGAGGGGCCAGAGGGCAGGCTGTGGGGAGCTGGCTGGGCTGGCTCGAGGGAACACGGCGCCTGCTGGGCCGCAGTGGGGGAGGTGAGGACATGGCTGGTACTCAACACCACTCATAAGCCTCTTCCAGGTCCTGGTCCTCCACCAGCCCCAGCTATTACCCCTGCCCAGCCTCAACCCTGCCTGTGCTTGGGTCTCCGCTTGATTATGAAGCTGGGAGTGGCAGCCTTGACTCTTGGCTGAGCCCTCGTCTAGGATGTGTTAGCTCAGTTCCTGGGCCAGTTGCCCCAACCCTGGCCAGCTCCCATGGGAGTAAGAGGAGGCTTCCTGTTCAACTTCCAGCTATCCCAGAGACTGGACAATCCATCATAATGAAGTAGTGGAGTGTTAAGGGCCAAAGTAGGCATCCTGCCCCCCAACCCCGACCCCTAGCCCGGAGGAGCAGAGTGGGGTCGGGCATTCAGAGGAAAGACTAGGCTGTGCATGGGGGTAATGGGAGGCTGGTTTCTCAAAAGAGCCACCCGCCCCTCGAGTTTTTAAAGCCCCAGTCGTGTGGGCGGGTGCCTCTGTTGTCCACAGCCAGGCCTGGCCCTTGGTGGAGGATGGGGCAGAGCGGAGAATAACAATTGTCTTAAGGGAGTCTGCTGCAGGAGAGAGAGAAAGAGAGAGAGAGACACCCCTCTGGGGTGGATCAACTGGGAAAGAATGGACATCTCAGTGCAGCCGGCCTCCCATCCCAGCCCCTGGGGTGGGGGCGGGGCTGCGGGGGGCAGCTCACCCAGCTGGGGCTTCCAGCAGAAGCCCATTCTATATATCTATGAGCAACGCTCCAGAGCGCGGCCCCCAGAGGGACAAAACCTCATTGTGAAGCGCCGGCCAGCCGGGGCACCCCCTCCCCCAGCCCCAGAACTGTGTGGCATTGACCCTCCTAGGCAGGCCACCACGAGCCTGCTGACTGGGCCACATCTGGGGCTCAGTCACCACCACCCCTCCCCCACGGCTGGTCACCGAGGAAGATGAGGTGGAGGAGGAGATGGGAGAGGAGGACAAAGAGGAAGCCTGGGGGAGACAGTGGGCGTCTCCAACCCTCTCCATGCCTCTGGGCTCACTGGCTGGGTGACGCCTTCCTTGGCCAGCAAGGCCCCCTTCCCTCTGAGCCAGTTTGGAGGTTTGTCCAACGATGCTAGTGCTACACGACATGGGGTTCTCCAGCTCTGACCCGGGTCCTTGCAGGCTGGAGTCTAGCCGCTGGACCGGGATGTGCTGCCCTTTCGCGAGCAACTACTGTATGCCAGGTAATGTTGTCTCCATATTGAAGCTACAATGACGACACTATGACACGGGCCCCTTGCATTCTAAAGTGAAGGGAAGCATGAGAGGTGGGAAGTAGCACTTGAGTAGGGTCCTCAGGGAGGTGACATATGGCTGCTGGGAAGGGTCCAGCTGTGCAAGGCCCAGCATAGTGCCCAACTGGAACAGCATGTGTCAAGGGCCTGTGGCAGCTGGGAGCCCAACATGTTTAAACAACACCAAGTGTCACAGGAAGTGTCCCACTGAGGCTTCATGGTTGGTGAAAAAAATTTACCAGGAGGCTGGCTGTTGGTATGGTGCAGCCTGGGCTACATGTTGGCTACATTCTGCCAACCACTGCAACGTAGACTGTATTGTGGGGGCCACTCCTGTGTGAGGGTGCATGTTGTCACATGCTTGTATAAGGGGCAGAGCTTGCAACAGGGACTGCAATTCCAGAGCGTTCTGCTCAGTGCAGCATTTCTGCAGTCATTTTCCCAGCACGGAGCTGGGCAGCTTCTCTCCCCTTTCTCTGGGGACCTCCACCAGGTGGCCTGAGGCCACCCCATGCACCTCCAGGAGGCTCTGGTGGCTTGCCAATGGAGAGAAAGGGAGGGGTTGGTGCAGGGAGAGACCCCGCTAGGCCCCGGGGAGCCGGGGCCAGAGGTTCAAGTGCTGTCTCGGAGCCAAGGGAAACCACTGGTTTTAGTGGAGGATCGTCCTTATCTGCTTAATGTCTTAGCAAGAGCAAAGGGGGAGGTCCTGGAGATCCCTGGGTGAGAGATGGGGCAGTGGGGCAGGAGAGGTGAGGCAGAAGGGCGGAGGGATGGGGCAGTGGGGAGGAAAGACGAAGCAGTGGGGCAGGAGAGATGAGTTAGTGGGGCAGGGGAGGCTGGGCAGTGGGGCAGAAGAGAAGGCAGTGGGGCAGGAGAGGCTGGGCAGTGGGACAGGAGAGGCTGGGCAGTGGAGCAGGGCGGAGAGGACAGCACACTTGCAGGTGCAAGAAGGAACGTAGGGGTGATGGGCTTACCTCACACACGCTTGGGAGTAAAGCCCTTCACACAGGGAGGGCAACTGTGGGTGCCTGGTGGGTTCCTGGGTCAGCCTGGATTTGGCTCTGAACCCTAGACATTGGAACTCTCACCCTGCACTGCCCAGTACTGTAACCACATGTGACCATTTCAATTTAAAGTAAACGCAATCCAAAAAGCAGCTGCTTAAGCCCAACAGCTGCGCTGCAGGCGCTCACGGCCTGCAGCCCCCCCCCCCCCCCCCGCAGCCAGTTTCCAACCTGTTGAAGCCTTTGTTTTCTCACCGGAGGGCCAAATGAGAGCGCACCTGCAGCTTCAGAGGCCACACTGGCTTAGCTTGCAGAGCTGCCACTTTTGCAGTGCTGGTACTGAACATGGACACGGATTTGAGTCCTGGTTTCTCCATTTTCGATCCCTGCTCATGCACCTGGGAAAGCAGTGGAGAATAGCCCAATGCCTTGGGCCCCTATACTCTCATAGGAGAACAGAAAGAAGCTCCAGGCTCCTGGCTTTGGACTGGCCCAGTTCCAGCCATTGTGGCCATGTGGGAAGTGAACCGGCAAATGGAAATATTCTTTCTCCTCTTTGTTTCTGTAACCCTGCCTTTCCAATAAAAAAAAAAAAAAATCTCAAAAACACACAAAGAAACCAGAAAGTTCCACAACACATGTTCTTAAGCTCGGGCTGTTACAGCTAAGATGCGGAAGCCAAGACTGTGAAAACCCAAGCTTTACACTCCTGGTGTCTTGCCCTGGACAAGCAGAGACGCCCCAGCCCACCGCGACCTGGCCAGCAGCAGCGCCACTAGCGGCTGGGCGCACCGGCAGAGGGCGCCGGGCGCGCCGGCGGGCGGGGCCCTGGGGCGGGCAGGGGCCGGGCCAGGACGGCGCGGGGGGCGAGCGGCGCGGCGGACCCGGCGGCACCGCAGCCGCAGCCGAGCCGCGACGGGAGCGCGGGCCGCGCCGGCGATGCCGCGCCTCCGCGCCGGGCTGTAGCTGGGCCGCGGCTGGAGTGCGCGCCGGGCGGGCCGGACATGGAGGTGGTGGACGAGACGGAGGCGCTGCAGCGCTTCTTCGAAGGTGAGAGTCCGGGGGGCTTGGGATGCCCTCATTGTGTCCCCAGCACTCCAGGAGCCCACCACTCTTAACTCCTCTTCCGTTCAGAGACCCTCCTCCAGGCTTGGCTCCCAGGTCTCTGGGGGTTACTACCCACCTCCCTGAAGTCTGGGCTGGCCCTTCCTGCCTCTAGAGCACCGGGCTTCCACAGGGTTGCGTCCCCTCTGCCTTTCAGGGTCTTCATTCCCCCTCAGTTGTAGCCCCCATCCCCACCGCGAGTCCTCCAGGCTACAATCCTTTGGGGTCCCTGCTGCCCTGCCCTACCTCTTAGGGCGGGTTCCCCAGAGCTTAGCCTGCCTCCTAGAGGCAGGGACCCCCTTGGGTGCTGTTTGGATTGGCAGCCTGCCCTCTTTGAGGTGCTTCTTGGAGGCCAGGGTCCCCTTCCAGACTGGGACTGCCTTCTCCCATGTTGCCTCCACCCTGGGCTGCAGCTCCCCCTGAAAGCAGCCACTTCTCCCCTACTTATGACCAGGACCCCCTTAACCTAGTATGCTGTCCTGGCACCCCTGCCCTCTGCCCTGGAGCCCCTCCAGATGCCGCACACAGCATCCCACCAGCTCCCTGGAACTTCTCAGGCCTGGGACCCCCACACTTGTCCCTGAAGTATTTCTGATTGTGCCCCAGCCCAGCAGCCTCACCACCTTGCCCAGCCCCTGAACGGGTCCTCCCAGGGTGCCATCTGCACAGGCCCCATGTATTTCCTCCTTCCACACCCTGGAGCTTGGTTTTCCCAGGTCTGATCTGCATCTACCAACTCCCCCTCACCCTCCTTTTCCTGCAAGGCCTGCCCCTCCTCCAGGCTGACGGCCTCCCCCCATCTCCCCCAAGTGCTGGAGGGGTGGGGGTGGGGGAGGTGCTGGCTGATGCCTCCCAGCCCCCTCTGCTTCTCAGAGCCATCCTGGAACATCCAGCCAGATTCCCAGCTCCTGCCAACCTGGTGTGGAGGGGTGGGGGCTGCCTTGTCCCGATCCCCCTGACGGTCCCTTAGGTGTTTCGAACTTTCTTTTAGATCGGACTTGCACTCCGCTGCTCTGAGCCCCAGGGTCCGGAGACCTAGGCTGCTTAGGGGTCCAGGAGAGGAGAGGAAGGCTTTTCTCTGCCTTTGTTTCTCTCTCTGACTTGGGGTGACAGGACCCTTTGTCCACTCTTGCCTGATGAACAGGCCAGTGAAGTGCATCTCCAAGCTCAGGCCAGGGCTGTGGACACCCTGGCTGAGCCAGGGCCCAAGTCAGACTTGGAGAAGGTTAAATGGCTGATCCTAAGGCAGGCAGCTGGGCCATCTGCGGGGTCCTGGGTAGTAGTTTCCCATTAGCCCCAGGGACTTTAGGGGAGTTGGAGCCTCCAAGGAGGAGACCCTGGGTCCTTGTTGGGAGGGGTCCTCTTTGGGGGTATCTGACTGTCCCTGGGCCAGGACAGAGGAGTGGGTCTGGCTGGCCTGGGCTCCCTGTCTCTAGAGCCAAACCTTCCCTCCTGGCTAGCCGCAGTGGGGGGGCAGGGGGGCAGGGCTGACGCCATGGCTTAGCCATGCGGCCGCCTGGCAAGGAGGCACTGCTGCTCCCTCCCGAGAGATAAGAGGAGACTCAAGAATGTCTGTGGGGAGCAGGGCGGGGTGTGCAGCGCCTGCCCGGAGGCCGGCCTGGAGGAGTCCTCTTGGAGCCTGAGTTGGGGGTGGGGATGGGCAGGAGCCCGGGGTCTCCTGGGCTGCTTGGGAGGGGGCTTTCCAGCAGGGAGCAGGGTGGGCAGTGGTATAGGGGTGGGGGTGGCCAGTGTGGCTGCAAGGGGCTGAAAGCTGGACCTTTGCCATATGGATGTGGCCTTCCCAAACACGTGCTGTGACTTAGGGCTGGGAACACCTGGTCCTCGCTTTGGTTCCACAGTAGGTAGAGGGCTTTGTGTTTCGGGCTGGACAACTGGGAAGAAGTTTTGCCAATGGGGCTGCCTCACAAGAGACCTCTCAACACACTGGTGTTCGTGTCATATCCTACCCCATGTGCCGGTGGGGCTGGGGGCAAAGGCGCTTTGGGCCTCGGGTGGGAGGCTGGGACAGGGCGGCCCCCTCGAGGCTGGTACAGCCAGGCCCCCGTGACTGCGCTGCTAATCCCCTAGAGAGAGGCAGCCGCCGACCAGATAGGCAGGCACAGGGCCTGCGGAGAGAGGACCTACCAGGCAAGATGCACTGGTTTCCAGCAGGTAACTGGGGTGGTGGTGGCAGCAGGTGCAGTCATTCAGGCCTGAACTCTGAGAGCAAGGCGAGCGCCAGGGGCCTGGCAGCAATGGAGGATCCAGCCAGGACTTTGGAGGGTCTGGTGCGGGCACAGCCCTGAGACCCGTGTGACAGTGTGCAGGGCTCTTGCCCCTACAGGACCCCTTTTGCTCACCTGCGAGACAGAAGCGTGTGGCCATCAGCTCCCGGGAGCCTCCTGGGAGAGACCCAGATGGGGAGATGCTGGCCCTCGACTTTTGGGCCACATGAGGCTTGAGTGAGCAGCACCCCCAAAAGCAGAGGGTGCCTCTGAGACTGAAGGAAGCCGACTTTCCAGGAGAAATGGCTTTCAGAGTTTGGGGGAAGAAATTAGAACCGGGAGGCCTGAGAATTTGTCATTTTTGGAACTGAGAGTGGCCTGGTTGGTGACTTCCGCTCCTAGTAGGTGAGTTAGTTGGATCATCCCAGTCTTCCCGAGTGGTTTGTTTTTAGTTATCCAACAAATTTAGCCTCTAGAGGGACAGATACCACGGACAATGCCAAGATCCTGGCTTGGAGGGCTACTCTCTGCTCCTTTTTGGGATGGGCGAGGGGAAGTGGAGGAAGACATTCATTGATCTAATCCCTCCCCCAGAGAGAAGGGATTTAGCCAGAGCCGGCCAGAGCTGACACTTGGCCCACAGCTGTCTGCTCTGCTCCCAGGGTCTCAGGTAGGGATGGGGGGGGGCATAGGGAAATGCCAGTGTCCCAGTGTCCTCTGAGTGCCCAGCTGGGCACCTGGGGTTGAGCTGGGGTGTGTGATGGGGCAGCGTTGTGTCTTGGGGCAGCCTGTATGTGGGGTACACAGAGGCAGGAGGTGGGTGAGGGAGGTGGCAGGCTTGGGTGGTTTGAGTCCTGCCTTGGAGGGAGCTGAGATCCAGTGCCACCTGGCCCACTCAGGCCCACTCCCTGGGGGCCTCCTGATGACTACCAGTGGGAGGTCTGACTCATCCTCTGGTCCGCACACCCAGGTGCAGGGCCACATGGTGGGGGTTGGGCCGGGGGGGGAGCAGGAAGCTTTCTCAGGGTCAAGGGAGGCATGTGGTGGCTGGGGGCACCAAGGTGGCAACGGGAGTGGGGTGCGTCCGAGGAAGGACGGGGCTGTTTGGGAAGACCTGAGGCCAGTGCAGAAGCGGGGAGCAGGTACTCGCCCAGTGCAGGCTCTGGGCCTGTCCTGAAACCAGGGGCCTAGACAGAGTTCCCTCAGGGCCTGCTTCCTCTCTGGGGACCCGGCCCCCACTCCCCAACTCCTAGGAGCTTACAGGGCTGGGGGGCCCTGGCAGCAGAAGCTGCGATTGGCTGCTCCCTTTGGACTTTGCCCTCCCGATAAGGGCCTGGAACAGAAATCATTAACTGAATCATTAACTGGGGCGGCCTCGCCCTGCCCAGGCCACCACCTTCCCTTTTCACCTTCTTCCTTCTCCCGCCTAATGCCCTCCTCTGTGCCCTCGTTGCTCTCACAATCTGGGGTGCTGGTAGCAGAGCGGGGACTCTCCTATCTCGCAGTCTCCAGCCATTTCTGCCATTAGGTGTGGTGGTCTTAGCCGTGGAGACAGGCTAGGGTGCGAGAAGGTGGGGAGGTAGCACAGGATGACTTAATGGTTTTGTGAGTGCCCTGGCGTGAGCAGCTGGGGTCTGTGGTCCACTCTACTGCCTGGCTGCTTGGAGACAGACCCCTGCACCTCACTGTGCCTTAGTTTTCCACTCTGTGAAATGGGAGTTAGCAGTGGCACTGGTGCCTGCCTTGCCTTGCCTAGGTAACTCAGTAAAGTCAGCTCCAGTCGAGGTGACCACCCATGGGCCTTGCATAGCCCTGCCCCGTAGGTCCTGGGTCAGGTGTTGTGTGTCCCATCTGGGAGACCCTGTGTCCACAGAGGAGTCGGATCTCTTTTTTGGGCTGGGGCCCCACCTTTCCAAGCCCTTTCCTCACCTGTCTGGGTTGTTTCCTCCAGGGATGAGGAAAGCCCTTGGCCTTGTTGGGCACGTCGTGTGTGCAGATGCCTGTGTCATGGCAGGGCCCAGGGACCAGCCCCCTCTGGTACCCAGGGATTCAGAGCTTGTCCCTGGGCACCAGGGGGCCACTGGGCTGTGCTGGTAGAGGAGTGGGCATGGGGAGGAACGGGTGCATCAGGCTCACTGCTGGTGGCCATGACAGAGCAGGGGGGCAATCTGGGATCCCCAGTGGGTGCCAGCCTGGGTAGGTAGAAACGGAGCCTTTCTTTGCACACCAAGGGGCCTGGCTCACTACTGACAGCTGTGTTAGTAATGCCCATGCAGCCCGCTTGGTCCTCTCCAGAGTTCTAGCCCGATGGCCAAGGTTGTGCAGTGCACACCCCAAGGGTGCGAAGGCTGGGAGCGGGCTGTGGCCTGCGGGGTCTGGGGTATCGTGTCTCTCCATGGTGGAATTCAGGGAGCCCACGTCTGGGGCTAGGGAAAGCGCATCCCCATCTCCTGCCCTGCGAGCTTGCGGGAAGGGGCTGGGGGCTGTGGCCGGAGTTGACTCAGGCCTGGCTCCTGCTGGAATTGTCTATGGAGAGAGGGGTTTGGGGGCGGGAGAAAGAGGGCACTCTCCCTGAGTGGACCTTAACCCATGCAACTGTGCCCTGGGAGGTGTATGTGGCCTGGAGCTGGCCATAGGGTCAGTGTATGCACCTGTGTTGGGGCATATTAGCTTGTGAGGCCCTGGCGGGTTCCTGCCTCTCAGGGTGTTGTGCTTGTTGTT